TATTGGCCTAGAACCAATCACTCTGAAAATTTGGGTAAATACCAGAACGTCTTCCAAGTGGATATTCATGCCATTGAGAAGTGTATCCATTTTAACATCGAGAAGAACTATCGCAGTTAAGAGATTTTTATCATGTCTGATAGAAAAGCAGCCATCAAAGCGCTAAGCTATTACGTAATCAACTCAAAAATACTCTGGAGATTCCTGAAAAAAACTAAGTGAACTAGGCGTGAAAATTATTCTTACCTGGATCCCGGAACACAAAGAGATGAATGATAACGAAATTGTAGATAGTCTCGCAGGGAAAGGGGCTCAACCACCTTTTGTGGGACCTGAGCCATTCTGCGGTATCAGAAGTATTACAATATTAGAAGATTAAAAAAGAATTGGACAGTAGAAGAACCGATAATTGAAACAATCTCTTGGGGCTGAGGCATGTTAAGATACTTCTTGGTAGACAAGATCGGAAGCATGTATCTGCCTAAGTAAGAACAGTCTATGCATTGTAACTGAAATATTTACTAGACATTGCCGACTCAAAGGACAACTTAATAAACTAAAATTAGTAGAAGATAGTGAGTGCAGAATCTGTAAGAAAAAAATACTTAATCTTTATTTACATTCTTACTGAATGTGTAGCACTACTGAATCAAAGATCATTATACTTAGAAGCTTACCAAATATACCTAAGACGGCACTCTACCTGACGAAGCCATTCCAAATCCTACACTTCGTTGAAAAGATAGGATAGAAAGGGTCGTTATAGGCATCGATACTATATCCTCGATGCAGTAGTCACAAAACTAGGCACAACAGACCTAACTACCTAACTTACCTAATACCTAACTTATCAAAATATCATAACAACAAGCTTGATTAATGAACTGATAATGTTAACTAAGAAGCCATCTTAAAAACCGAATATGATAAAAATGTATATGCAAAAACAACATACAGTGAGCACCATAAGTCTTACCCCCCCCCCTATCTAACTCGTTACTGGAGTCTTGTTAGGAAAATCGCCGAGACACGTCGATTTTTGATTTCTACAATGTACATTTTTGTATGAATAGTTTACCCTTAATTTCATCCCTTACTGGAGGGGAGCAACCCTTTCGAAAAATTTAAATAGCATGGGGTGGTGAGTGATAACTCATTAGAAAGAGGATTTTATTCTCTATTCAACCGTGTAAAAAAATTTGAAATTTGCTTCATTAATTCTCGACTAATTGTTGTTTCAGAATAACGGAAATTAACGTAGCGCACTCATCCTTAGAATTAAAATTCGGTCCTGCATGATTTCGGTTTTGGTTCAGACGTGAAGTAAGACTTTTTGCCATTAGAAGGTCACTGTTAGTCTAGTTGCTTTCCTATTTTGTGAGGTTTTGTTATTTTTAAACATTAATAAATCAACACGTAATAAAGCAAATTTCAATTTTTTTTGCACGGTTGAATAGAGAATAAAACCCCCTTTCAAATGAGCTATCACTCACCACCCCATGCTATTTAAATTTTTCAAAAGGGTTGCTCCCCTCCAGTAAGGGATGAAATTAAGGGTAAACTAATCATGCAAAAATGTACATTGTAGAAATCAAAAATTGAACTGTCTCGGCGATTTTCCTAACAAGACCCCAGTAACGAGTTAGTTAGGGGGGGGGTAAGACTTATGATGCTCACTGTATAGTATTTTTAATACAAATCCCGATATCGTAAGAATAGTTGAAGAATGTGGAGAGTTTTGAAATTGTAAGTTTATGTATTTGTTTGTTATGTTACTAGTAGGAGTACTAGAAATATATAACTAATGGAAACTATTGAATTCCTTTATGCATAATAAACATCTGAACAAAAAAGCTGTAAACATATTGCAAGTCATGGAAAATAAAATTGGTCCAGAATTAGTACAGAAAATATCTAAAACTAATTTAATTTCACAAAGAAAGTTATTTAACATAACTATATTTAAGTTATAAACCACAATACCCCAAAAAATTATAGAGATCATTAATAAAATGAAAATTAGGCTTGTGGGGGAGTCATAATATCAGTAGATAGTAGATATTTGAAATTGCTAAAATATTTAAATACAAGAAGAAAATTATTAAAATATTTGACTAGATATTTTAGTAAATTTTACATTCTAACTCTATAGCTCAATTCTGTAGTTATAGTAAGCAATACATAAAATATTTATGTGATTTTCTCTACTTTTAAAATAATGAAAATATGTCATATCCATGGGCGTCGTTTGGGGGGGGGGGGGCAAGGGGGGGCAGTTGCCCCCCCTGGCTTTTACGACTTTACAGCGCGTAATGGCTGTATGACACATTACTAAATTAGGTACCAAAATTTAGCCCTAAAGTAAGTTATTAATTTAGAAATAAAAATATTTTTTTTCCTTTTGTAACGATACCAATTTTTAGTACTAAATTAAGTATAGGCGCACGCGCATTGACGTAATATTACGTGAAATTAGCACAGAAATGAAACATTCTGTGTAACTGAGAAAAGTGAATTAAAAGATGTTTTTACTATGACTTTGACACTTGTTGACTTGACAACAACCAAATGCAGCAATGCTACTAAAAACCACGAAAAAACATTATAAAATTTACAAAATCAAACACAAGCGAAATTTGTCCAAGGTTATAATGCAAAGTTGTCGCTAACCAAAATCAAAATGGTGCAGAAAAGACCGTTGTGTCAACTTTTTCTGAGAAAAACTTCTGCGCAACATTTCAACGCATTTTTAATACTAAATTTGGTAGAAAATAGAGGAAGTTCCAATTAATTAATTAATTTTTTTAGTACTAAATTTAATACTAAATTTGCTGTTTGCAATGTAAATTTTTTTAGTATTTAAAAAATGTATTAATTTAGTTCTAAATTTAGTACTTAATTTAGTATCGTAACATACAGCCTTAGTATATAAATTACTGATATTTCGTTAGGTAGGTACTACGTGCCACAGTTTGACAACGTTTTTTTTTTAATGTATGGCCTTGGCATTGCCAATTGGCCAAACTAATTTTTGACAACGCCTGTATACAGTAAAATTACGTAACTAACACAATTACACAACTGGCACTGGCTCATATTGTTTAAGGGAATAGAAGAAATAGGTAAACATGACAGGTGTAGAAATCTAAATGCCACGAATTACGGACAACAATTTCATAAATATAATATTCAGGCTAATACAGTTGACGAATATTATAGGTTGAATATATTTATTCCATATCTTACACGTACCTATACATTTTACTTTTTTTTAAAAGTAGGTAATGTTAAAATACCCGTATCTATTATAGTTGGCAACCCTGCTTAAATTACTTTTGTTTTATAAAGATGTCAATGTAAATTAACCAACGAATGTGCGCACCTGAGTTGCTATTTTAATTCCAGTAATACTGGAAACAGTAGACATCAAAAAATTGAAAGGTTTAAATAAACAATAAATTATTATTTTACAATGTTGTTCAACATCCCCTAACTTTTAAATGTTCAGCAAAGATTAGATTTCTGCCTTTGATTATTGTATGTGGCTGAAATGCAATCTTGTGACTTATTGATAGGAAACCAATTTTATTGATTAATTTCTATGGGTTCTTTCGAATTAAAAATGAAAAAAATATAAATTAAAATCGCAAATTTACCAATTATTTTTGTTAATACGTTTTGATATTACGTTATTATATAATGGTAATGTTTTAATTTTTACATTATTCAACCTATTCTTCAATGACAACTTATTAGGCTTAGGCAACATATCATTCATTTATTTTTAGCTGAAGTAATAAAAATATATAATAATAATTTTGTCACTTGTTTTACAAATCCATATACTTTTACTAAAATAAACATATATATTTTTTAATTAGGGATTTCATTAAAAATTGTATTGTCAGTATACGCAAATATCGTCCTTTAGTTCATGAATTAGTTGGCGCTACTGTCACGCACAGAGCAAATAAATAATAAAAATAGGCTGACTGCGCTTTGCATGATGAGCGTACATCGAAAAATATTCGCAAAAAATTAAAAAGAATTCATGTTTTCTGTTATCAATTACTTTAGGTAGAGGAAGAAGAAATTAAAAATGTACGTTTTGCTAGTATTGTCAACGTCTTTGAGTGAGTTTTTTTGTTTTTGTGTTTCTATAAATATTTTATTTTTAAATATTATGTATGGCTCTGTCTTCTTGTTAATATTTTTCTTTTATTTCACACATTCTGTTTATTTTTTAAAAATTTGTGTTTTAAGTTTCTTGTTTTTTTTATTTTAGTTTTTGTCTTTTTTGTTGGGTTATTTTATTTATTAGAAACTGTTGTTAATTTGTATTCTTTTTTTATTTTTCATTTTCTTTGTTTTTCAACAAATAAACATTCTAATTTTTTTTAAATTTGCCCCCCCCCCCTATAGAATTGTGTAACGACGCCCATGGTCATATCCATATAATTTTGAACATGCACAGTGTAGAGAAAGTATTCATATATCGTTTTGCATAGAAATACTTAAAATACAGCAGTTTGTATATGTTAAAATGAACATAAAGGTTTTGCCATCCAACTATAAAATTATTTTTTTTATATTAATTTAACATTCTTTTTCACAAATTCGGTATGAGTTTTACAGTGTGTTTACGATTTTGGTACATTTAAAAAATAGGGCTTCTATCTTCAACGGCCTCTTATCCTTTGACATACATTTCTCCTACTCAAATCTGAAGTTTTCTTCTTCTGTTTTTTATGAAATTTATAAAAATCCAGTGTTGTCAGATTACTAAACAAAATTATCTAATCCGTAGCCGGTGCATAGAAAATAACCACTAGTTATTTAAACGAGATTTGCAAAGATCAACGTTGAGTCTAATTATTTTTGTGGGTTGATGGATCAACAATTATTACAGACCTATAAGTCACGTAAAAAGTTAATAATTTCCACTATTTTAAAAATATAATCTGTTTCAACCTATAATAATCTGAATTTTATAATTCCAGGTCTCATTTCTATGTACAATTCAACATTTAGTAGCAGATGATGTCCGTCTCCTTGATTTGGAACCCCCAGATGCAAAGCAAGTAATCGAAAAGCAAGACCAATCACTCCATTATGCTCCGAAAGTCGACTCCAACGTACCTGCAGTTAGATATCTTGGTAACGAACCGCACGATGTCCAAGAAGACATTTATTTAGCAAGGCAATATCACGGGCAAGATGGCGTAGGAGGATACCTTTACGGATATAATATTCCTGATATTGCTAAAACCGAGAAGAAAGTGGCAGGTGGTGATTTGAGAGGAGCTTACAATTACATTGCCCAAGATGGACAAGAAATTAAAGTAAGTTTTCATTTGTTTTGACTGGGACATCTTGGGATGAAGTTAAATTAAATACAGAAGCTTGCTTAAAAAAAATAAAAATTTATCTAGATTATAGTTTATTGACTCTAAACATTGAAAAAACAAAATATATTACTTTTTCTCCTACTACAGCTGATCAACCTAAAATAGACGTTAAACTACATGACTCTAAATGCAATCATACTAGATGTAACTGTCCCATCTTGGAAAAAACAGTAGCAATAAAATATTTAGGTGTAATGATTGACCAGCACATAAGATGGAACGAACACGTTACTTACGTTACAAAACGCTTAAGAGTCTTGTTTACCAAATGTTATAACATTAGAGATATTCTTTCAAAAAACAATTTATTTATGATTTATAATTCGTTTTACGAATCAATTTTAAGGTATTGTATAACGATATGGGGTGGTACTTTTAAAAGTACGTTACAAAATCTGCAAACTACATTAAATACATTAATTAAAATATTATTTAAAAAGGATAGACTATATTCAACTCAACTACTATATCAAGAATTAAACATTTTTACTTTAAGACAATTATATACATATCAGTGTCTTCAAAGGGTATACAGAGATCAGGATAAACTACACAAGGTTTCATCAAAAACCAGAGCAACTACAAATTTAAATTTGAATGTAGACCTATTTCAAAAAACGGTAACACAAAGATCTTTCTTTTATTTTGGCCCCAAATTGTTTAATCTTCTCCCTTTATCAACGAAACAAATAACTAAATTAACTAAATTTAAAACTGAAATCAAGGAATTGATCCAAACTTCCCCAGATATGTTTGAAATATTTTAAATAAAACTGCAAATAACGTACATTATTTCTGGTGTCTTTTCAAGTATTTTTTACAATTTTTTAGCGTTAACTTCTGTTTAACTATACTATAGGAGAAAGTTTTAAACCTATCTCACTTTTTGGACCTGTCTTGCTTTAGTTTCCTATTACTCCTATTACTGAGTCGTTTTTCTTTTTAATTTTTTTTTGTACTTTTAAAACCATTTATTACTGTATTTTTTTTATGGAAGGGATCACACAAGACAGGCATATATGCCTAGGTACGATCCCCTCCATGGATAAAAAAAAACTTGTAATCTGGTACGTAATATATTTGATTTGATTTGATTTGTTTTAGCATCATATTCTTTTAAGACAGTAAAGAGGTTGTAACGAAAAAATAAAAAATTAAAGAAAAAAGGGGAAGAAAAGAAAATATAAAATAGAACTTTAATGAGGAAGAAATTTAACAAAAGAAATATTTTTAATTTTTAACTGACTAAAAAAATGCAAAAGAAAATTGAACTGCAAGCTCACAACTAGCTCAAAGGGAGTGGGTTCTCACTAGGGATGTCGATTTTTCCAAAAAAAAATCGATTTTTTGGATCGATCTAGATCGCGCTTTTAAAAATCAATCCACTAAAATCAATCTATGAAAAATCGATTTTTCGATTTTTTTTTGTTTTAGCTTGTAAAAAATTAACACAAACGGGTGTTAAAGAAGGCTCGAGGAGATTTTTACCAAAAATAGTATGCCCCCATGCTTGAAGATCAAACTTAGCTTCATCTACTATTGCCGTACTCTGACTTGTCTCACTTCCTCTTCTGAATCTACACTAAGAATACAATTATCGACGTAAAAACCTCTTAATAATTTCAAAACGATATTCTCAGGATAAAGAAATTGGTGGCTTCGAATCAACTCAAGAGTGGCCTGAAGATGATAATTTATTACAGCATTGAGCAGGAAGGGGCTACATGTTACCTCGAAAACTACATGAGCATGTCGGTACACCTTTAAAATATTAGTTATGTCGTACCACGGAAACCTTAAATAATCTTTATCATTTTCTTGGAGACTAATCTGTAAAAAAGCTTTTCTTATATCTGCTACCACTCCGAACCGGGTAGTTCTAAAACGAAGTAAAATGAAAGGTATCAATTCAAGAAAATTAATCCCTCTTTCCAAGCATACGTTTAATGATAAACAATTCTTTTCTCTTGCAGACGCATCAAAAACTGGACGAATTTTAGTTGTTGCAGTGGATAATTTTAATGACCATTAAATTTATAGTTTTCTTCAGAAACTTCTTCTATAATGCCTTCTTCAAACCAATCATTTAACTGTTGCTGATAGTCGTCGTAACAGCCGTCATCATGAAGACGTTTAATTAGATTTAGAAGTCTTCGATGGGCCATATCAAAGTTTGTAGAGAGACAAGCATGACCTTCTACAAAAGGCATACAAACCTCGTATCTTCTATCTTCATGTCTACTAATCGTTTTAAAAAAAATGGTTCATAACTTCTTGTTCTTTATCGTGACGTGACATCCGGTCACTAGGATCAGCAATACCCAGTACATCTAGTTTCCACATCTCAGTCAAAGTAGAATCTTTTAAAAACATAGAAACAGTCGATGTAGTAAAATTACAAACAGTCGATGTAGTAAAATTACTACATGTTATAATTTGTGAAGCCAAAATTTTTCCCATTAATATCCAACCTAGGACAGTCTGCATAACTACTAAGCCGCATTCTAAATCATACTTCTTTCCATTTCCTGCAATATCAGCTCCAACTAATATTTCTACTGGGTCTTCTCTGGTATCAGTAAGGTTTACACCTAATTTATTTAATTCATTAGACCAAAGACCTTTTGTTATCGAAAAAATATTGTGACAAATAATGTTTTGATCCGAAACATTAAAATAACAAGCATAACTATGATCCAAATTACATAAACGGACTTTATAACAAGAATGTTTTACAGCTTCACTCTGTACGCCTCGAAACAAAGAATGTTTCAACTCTTCTTCATGTAGTTGTTTGTAACCCATTTCTAACGCTGTAAATTTCAAAATATATGATTTTTGAGATCCCGTACGATAATATTTTTGAGATCCCGTACGATAATTAACCTAGCTCTTCTTGAAACCTCTTCACCTATGACATAAACTGCTAGGGTTTGTAAAAATACTTCGGTATAAATCAGATTAGAAAGTGACGTCTCTGAAGTATCATGTTTAACAGGTTTTTGATCTAATTTAATTAGATTTTCGTCTTTAGTCTCAAGACACATTATACTGTAGTGCTTTCCTTGACAACTAGTGCACGTCACCTTGACTCGATAATTTCTAGCCGTATGTCCAAACTTTAGGCATATTATGTAACAACGACCATTAGTTGTTAATTTGAGTTTATTTTCTGGTAAAGATAAAGAAGAAGCAATTGCACAATCTTTACTCTCATGTGATTTCTGACAAAAGATATGTTTCACATAACTTTTATTTATTGAATCTGAAGCTGCAGCAGGAATACTAGAATCGTGAAGTAGCTAAAAGTAATTTCTCTTCTCGTCGCACTTCTTTGTCAAGAAACCTCATTAAATTATTTAAACGATCTTGCATAGTAGATTCTTCATCATATGACGGGCATCTCTGCCAGGTTTCAACTAAATCATCATCCAAACAAGACTCCACCAATGGATATAACATGGCAGCACAAGTATCTGAATTATATCAAAGGTTTCCAAAGCACGGAGATGAGATGCTAACTGGTCGTATAAGCTACTTAACTAACATTTATGTGAAATACTAGTGGTTAATACTAATTTTAAAATTTCCCGAACATAAACTTCAATATTAAGATCTTTCCTACCGAAACGAGACTTTCAACTAATATTCTTGGTCTAGATTTCGGCGAAGTAAATTGAATTAGATATTGGAACTTATCTTTAATTTCTATGCTGTTATCATCACGGATTCTTCTAAACTGATAACCAAAATGACAACTAGAGTTTTTTGACTCCCCAGTAAATTTAATAAATACAATCTTAGGTAATTTTAATCGAGATTTGATTCTATCCACATTGAAACTTCCTAAGCAGGAAGCAATTTCGCCTCTAGAAGAACGTAAACACCGATCGATTTCTGTCTTTAACTGATGGTAACTAAATGAATATTCATCGGCTATTTGTACCTCTTTATCAATGTTCTCTTTGAATAAATCAGAATTTATTAAAAAATCCAAAAGAAGTTTATCTATTCTATCAATAGCTTCTATCTTTTTGTCTAACATACGGACGTTACCTTCTACTTCGCTTGTACTGTAATCGGGTACAGCCAAAATATCCTTGAAAAGGAAGTTCTTTGCACATCTAGGGATCATTGTATATTATCCATTTCACAAAAAACTTGTCCTGTCACGGTCGCCAAAATATTACAGATTTGATGACCTAACCGGTCAGGGAATACAATCTGTGAAAATGGATTTCGGTATAAAATACAAAGAAAACTTCCAATCAAAACCTTTTTATATACGCTAGTTCAGAGTGATGTCATTTTGGTTCCACTGACATTTAATTCTATCCGAACTTTTAACAAAAACATCAATACTTAAATTTGACATATATACGTTTTTACTGTTTTTAGTTTATTTCTAAATATTGTTTACAGGTCATAAAAAATAGTTTAAAGATATGTAATTTGTAACTAAACGATTGCATATTTGATGCATGTTATCTATTTACTTTAGGAATATACATATTTATAAAAGTGAAAAAGCGATATAATTTAGGTAAACAAAACGAACAAAACGCACTAAAAAAATCTACTGTCACTTTCATTGTCAGTGGAACCATAATTACATCATCACTGAACTAGCGCATTTCAATAATTTATTTACATCAAAATCAATCAATCTTACAAACTAACTAAAAATCAAGTAAACCCAAAATAATACAGGGTAACATCAAATAAACAAATACAGGGTAATTCGTAACACTATAGTTTTCTTCTATGATTTTTATTGGTCTTAATATTGCTCTCAGAATTTTTCTTATCATAATTCTTAGATCTTTCTCTTTTTTGTCATACTCATTGTTTCTGCTGGGTCATTCTATACGGGCGGAACATTTGATTTATGGCTTAATTATGACTTTTACGATAATTTGACTTGGATAAAAGTT